GAGCGGAACCCCCCGGGCGGAGCCGCCCGGGAGAGGCGGCAGCCAGCCCGGCCCGGCGCCCCGCGGCGGGAGCCGGGGAGCCGCGCGGGGCAGGGCCGCGCTGGGGCGCGAACGGCGGGGGAGCCGAGCGAGCGCGGGAGCCCCGGGGCAGCCCGGCCCGTTACGAACTTGGCGCCTCGCGGCTCGGCTCCCGCTGGGTCTGCTTTCGTTTCGCTCGGTCCGGGTGACTTCGTGATGGAGGCTGAGCACAGAAACGGGCCCTTCGAAGCGTGCAGCGGCATCGGGGCAGGGAGATTCTGTTCGGTTGTGTCTGGGCTCACGACTGGAGTTTGGTTCTGGCCCTTGGAAGAAGGTTCAGGGCCAGGTGGTGCCGGCGCCTTGGCCTCGCTCAATTCCTGCTCCTCCTTTGCATGACACAAGCGCTGCAATCTCCTCCAGCAGCAGCGAGGCAGCCTGCTCCCTTGAACAATGTATGCAGTCCCAGCAGCAAAAAGTCTTGGCCGAGAGCCCCTGTCTCCCCCGGGTCTGCCCGGGCCCCACGTGTGTCTGCACAGGGGCAGATATTCAGCAGACACTCCTTTGCTTTCTCCGAACCTCAGCCTGCAAAACGGGTGCGTGTTGGTAGCTCAGCCCATGGGAGAAGCCTCGCTGAAGGTGCTGAAGTCACTGAGTATTATTGCTGCTGCAGTAATATTGCTAGTAAATAGCCTTGTAGTCCTCTGAGTCATAAAATATTTAATAAGAGCCAGTCCTCTAAGTGCAGGTCCCCAGTTTGATGTATGAAGCATGAAATGATGACTTGAGTGCTTTTCATCAAAGGCACCGGCCTCTCGTCGCTGCTTCCTAGTTTGGGATGTGCTCGATGCTGGGGTAAAACAAGATGACCGTATTAACAGCCTCCTGCCCCAAAAAGCGTAACGAAAACAGGGCTGTGGTTGGACACAGTCAACACACTGGTGCTCTCCCCAAAGCGCACTATTCTGGTTGGCTTGTGTGGTGTCAGCAGTTTGCCTGGCTGCATTTCATCCCAGTGAATCTTTCCTATGGTTATCAAACACAGGCTGTGTTGGAATACGTCCGCGTCTCGTCCCTTTGCTGCTGCCTGGACCCAGTCTGGCCTCGTCGTGTCATCTGCTCGCGCTGCGCGTCCTGCTGCGATGCCAGCTCTGCCAGGTACGTCTGCTCATGGTTCTGGACTCATGCAAGATCTGTGAGGCTTCTGGATGCCAGCTATTTACTCAGGGCTGGGGCTGTTTCGGCTAATTGTTCTTATAAATTATTCACCCTGGCGTTACGTAGCGCTGCTGTGATCACACATGCCGTCGTGCAGACGGGCAGATGCAATCTGTTTCATTTCCTGAGTGATCCCTGGTGAAGAACACCCGTATTGATCTGTACTGGGGACTTAGATGCTGGCCAAAATAGCGCAGTATTCACCCATCCATCCATTTAAATAACTCTGATTAGACAGCCAGCTTGCTCTGAGATATTCAGAATTTAATTTCCAGTTAACTTTATTAAGACTGCAGCTCTGTTCTTTTATGATAATCAGTGGAGTTTCTGGCTGGCTGCATTGTTTTACCTTCAAGCAAATGCTTTACATGAACACTAGAAAGCTACTCCCGTTGCTCTCATGGTTTTAATGTTTCTGAATGCTGCATTTGGGGCTGTACTGAACCAAAACAACAACTGCAAGCACGTTTTTTCCCGGAAATTAACCGGAATACAGAAGGTCTGAGCTGGTGTTAAAAGCTCATGATCTGTGTGCTTGAATGACAAAGCAAAATAAAGAAAGATGCACTTCTTGATATGCCAGCAGCAAAAAGGAAAAAAAAGTTGGCAAAAGAGCTGGTATTCCAGGTCTATCTACTGCCAGGGAGGCATCACTTAATATACATTCTTGAGACATACTCCATCTCCTAATTTGTAAGAATAAAGCGGTGGTATGACTAGTTCTGTATCTTAATCCCTTAGTCTTCTGTTGTCCGGCCTCACAATTTTCATAGCCTGATTATTTTATTTTTCCTTCTCTAATACATCTGAAATGCAGCTGCACACAGGCTGCTGGCCCCCAAAGGCCTGACCTTTTGAAAGCTGTTCTGCTTCAGCACAGATTTTGGGCATGGTAGCAGAGTCCAAGGAGGTGGGATGTGTGCGTTATACTGTGGGGAATGACACTGACCTTGTTTGCCAGGAATGAGAAGAGCAAGTAATTTGGAGTTCAGAATTAACTGTGAGCCTTTAATTGTTTGGAAATGTAGTACTCGGTCTTGGGTTTATCATCCTGCATCTTTTTAACTAGTTTGCAGTATATTAGTAAAGGGGTTTGTTGTTACTTGCAAGCAGAAGTCCTAGTCTTTAATATGTACAAATAAAATCTGAAAAGAGAAACAGACTGCCTTAAGTTTTTGGTGATTTTAGCAGAGATGCAGGCTCTCTCTGGGGAGTTAAGACCAACTGGCTTCTCTCCCTGAGCACCGCTCACAATGTGGTCCACAGGCCCCTTTTTCCCCCCCTTCTTTGAGCTGCTTAAAGCAGGCTGTGGAATTTCCCTTGCTGCTCCTGCATGGCAGTAACGCCGTTACGGGAAGTCACTGGTTCAGCATCTTCTAGGAAGTTATGGCCTGAACCACTTCTCGATTTGCTTTTGTTGCAGCATTGCTGCAAACGTGTTTGTTGCCCTCCTGCTCATCCCTATGGAGATTTCTTTCGAAAGTTTGTATGTGTTTTGTGAAGTGCACTTGTGCTCTTTCTCTGTAGATTAATGATTTTATTATCAACTGCAGTTCTCCACTATTGAATTATTAACTCCACAGGGAGGTTTTTGCTTTGTTTTCATATTATTCTTTGACTTCCATACTTGATTTATTCCTCTCTGCCCTCTGAAACTGGAATATGAGAATTCTGACTAAAATTACCAGATCACATGTATGACCTCAATGTAGGCTAAATAAAGTTTTTAATTGGGAGATGGGCATCTGTCTTTAAAAGTACTCTCCGTTCTCCAAGCAAAAGGTAGTCTGTGATCATAAATTATCCTTAAAGATGCACTGCTTGTTACTTAACAAAATTGGGGTGGTTGGAACAGCCGGTGAAGCAATTAGAGTGCTCTGGAACCAGTCCTGGGGGGAGTGAGGAGGGAGATGGAGGCAAATGTTTGTTCGTAGATTCTTCTGCTTAATGTGGCTTTGCAGCTGAATGCAAGACGATGTGGTCGCCTGGCAGAGAGCCTGCCTCTCATGGAAAGCTTTCCCCTCGCTCGTGCTTGTAGGTACTTACAGCCTGCCTTGTTTTGTCCTTTGTTTTGTGTTTTGTGCGTGCACTTTTTCCTGCAGGGAGGAAATAGGAGGGGAATCGTATAACCTTTCAGAAACCTTCTGTTAAAGTTGGAGTGCTGCAGTTCAAGCAACTGAACAGATGGATAATGGAGACTGGGGATATATGGTAAGTGATCCAGTATAAATGTGCTTGCTTGCTGAGCAGTACAGCTGGGCTTGCAAGATCGTGAAGTAGAAATCCTTCCAGATCTGTTTGTGTAGCTTCAGTCATGTGAGAAGAAAAAATGTGCATGTTACAACAGCTTACCTATATTCTCCTGTGTGTTTCACCTTACATGCTATTTGTAGGAGATCTCGTATTTCCGAGCTAAAAATCAGCAAGTGCTTAACTGTATTTTAAACTTGTTACCATCTTCCTAAGACACAAAGAGTGAAAATAGTTTGTGGTTCCTGCCTGTAGTTTCAAAGTGTCATTTTATTTATAAAGAAAAATATTTTTCCTTATAAACGCTGTCTCCAACTAGACAAACACATGTTATTTTTCTCCCCTTCTCTTTCACTAAACATCGTGCTGCCATCCATATGTCTCTTTTCTCCGGCTGGCCTGTGTCCTGATTGTCAGAATTGGTGGCCAGATGGGATTTTTATTCCTTTCTCTCTTGCTTCCTCATGAGTGATTTGGGAGCTGATGCAGAATAGCTTGCTGCTTTTCTCCCTCTTCTATGCAGCTTACTAATTTGCTAATAAATATTTCTTTTCAGAGTCAAAAGCTGAAAGTTCTTTTCTCTTTGCTTGCTTTAATGATGTCATTTAACCAGTGCATGGATAATTTTGGTTGTGTGCTCCTGCTCCCATTTCTATATTTGTGCTGTCTGCCTCTTTTGAGAGAGAGAAAGAGGCTTGAGCTTAAGTTCAGCTGCTTTTTGTTCTAGAAAGAGACATTGTGAAAGTGAGGAGAGCTGATAGGTCTCATTCAAACTAACTTGTTCTGCAGGAAATCTCTCTGTTTTCATTTCCCCGTGTGCAGAATAGGAAAAAAACTTGTTGCATAAATGCAAAACTTCCGTGGCAGGAGCTGAATGCTTCCAGTTAAGGTTTCTAAAGCACTCTGTGCTTCCTGAATGTGAAGCGTCTCCCTGCCTCGTTGCCAGTTGTGCTGTGTTGCTAGGTGGTTTGGATTCAGGTTTGAGCACTGCTTAAAGACAGTGGAAGAAATGTGACTCCTTCCAGAGTCTGCAGCTTTCAAACAGTATCTGCTGTGTGTGTTGGTGCGATGGTTGAGTTCTCTTGAGGTGGCTTGATAAACTCTGCAATTTCTCTCTTTCTAGATGACTGATCCAGTCACACTAAATGTGGGTGGACACATGTATACGACATCCCTCACAACTCTAACGAGATATCCCGACTCAATGCTTGGGGCCATGTTCAGGGGAGACTTCCCCACTGCCAGAGACTCTCAGGGCAATTACTTTATTGACAGAGATGGACCACTTTTCCGCTATGTTCTTAACTTTTTAAGGACCTCAGAGCTGACTTTGCCCCTGGACTTTAAGGAGTTCGATCTACTTCGGAAAGAAGCAGACTTCTATCAGATTGAACCACTAATTCAGTGTCTCAATGACCCCAAGCCGCTGTATCCTGTGGATACCTTTGAAGAAGTGGTAGAGCTGTCCAGCACTCGGAAGCTTTCCAAGTACTCCAACCCTGTGGCTGTAATCATCACCCAACTAACTATCACCACAAAAGTCCATTCGCTGCTGGAGGGCATTTCAAACCACTTCACCAAGTGGAATAAGCATATGATGGACACCAGGGACTGCCAGGTTTCCTTCACCTTCGGGCCGTGCGACTACCACCAGGAAGTGTCGCTCCGCGTGCACCTCATGGAGTACATCACAAAGCAGGGCTTCACCATCAGGAACACCAGGGTTCACCACATGAGCGAGCGTGCCAATGAAAACACAGTGGAGCATAACTGGACTTTCTGTAGATTGGCACGGAAAACGGATGACTGATTCCAACTCCACAGGAGCCATTTCAGTGGGTAGCAACTCAGTTGAACAATAAACCTGAGAGAGCCTGGATTTTGGTGAAAGAAACTGTGGGCTTTTTTTTTTTTTTTCCCCTTTTTTTTTTCTGTTTTTTTCTTTTTATACGATTATTTATTGTTAATCTTTAAGGACTGGAGGAGTTTTGTTCTCTAGCAGCTCTGTCTCTTTGTCCTGTCCAGAAAAAAGCAAACATGCATGTGCCTGTTGAGTCAAGACACCTTTTTTGTTTGAAAGAGGGAGTCGAAGATTTAGTACAATAGGGTATTTTGTGTCATTAACACAATTCTGATGCAACTTAAAGTGCTAAAATTACCTCCGTTTAAATGGTTTCTAATCCTTCTAATGCTGTGCCACTGGGAGTAAGAAACAAACAGAATTTAAGATGCAGGTGGAGAAAAGCTGCTATCATGTAGACTAATTTAGTTTCTAAATCAATAAACAGTATTGTAATATTCTAGGAAAACAGATCCCACCCTTTAAAAGTACTTGATAAGTACAGTTTCTTACAGTTATGACAACTGTTTCTTTCTATGCATATAAATCAAGCAACCAAATATCTGTAGCCATGGAAATATGATTAGAAATATTTATATTGGATTCTGAATGCAAAATGTCCCTGTGGTAGAATTCATATTTTTAATGCCTGGTGCAATATTATTCCCAAGTGTAATGCCTGCCAGCAAGAAGCTAATAAAGATGTGAAATATAGAGTAATATTTCGTATTTTTCATCTCCTAGAACTCTTAATTCTTAAAACAAATAAAACCCAGAAACTATTTTGGTTTTTTTTTTGGTGCTATGTAGTACAGATACCTTGGTGGGGCTCCGTGCTCCTCCGTTACTGACATACTTTGTTCCTTTTCATGCTTTTTAATCTTAAATGAGTTGATGCAGCTCTCATTGTTAGGGAAGCAACTTGTGTACTGAAAATCATGCATTTTGACTGGTAGAAGGAACAACAACTATTTGTCCTGGTTAGTTAAAGAGAGACAAAGGAAACAGATACAGCCCAAATACTTGTAGCCGCTAAATAGTGTTACCCAGCTTGCCATCAGTTTATCGATGCCTGTTTATAGGTATGTTCTAACCATAGGGTGCTGTTTCTGATGCCATTCAAGTCAAGTTTCACAAAGCCATTTCTGCTCATCCTGGGCACTTTGTCTTAGTTACCTAAGTGATTTCTGATTATCCTCTGGCTTGAATAATGTTGGGAATAAGAGAGGCGATGTCCATTTCAGTTGGATACGTTGGGGTCTGAAAGCTTCTTACCATGAGGGTTTCTTGCTGTAATTGCTTCTTGCTTGGCCTGTGTGGACCACAGTTTGGGGATGTCCAGAGGCAGTCTGGATTTCTACCATAGCTGCTGGTTCTTGAAGCCTGGAGCCCTCTCAGTCAGGAGGCTCCCAGGAGAATATTCTGTCGTATTTTGTTTTTCCCCTTTATGCATTGTAAAGGAGTTCGGACTTCTACACTGTCAGTAGGAGTTTATTCTTAAAGGGAAAAAAAGAAAGGCAAGCTGGACTGAGGAAGCTTGGGAAAGATGGTTGTTTCCTGAATGCTGCACATGTTATGAAATAGCAGTATTAAAGTGGCATTTGATTATATAACATGTTCTTTGCAATACTTCATTTACTAGTAAATGAATGATTGGCTTGGCTCAGCCTGTCCTTTACGTAATTGGGAAGGATAATAATTAGAGAAGCAGCATTCCAAATAATATGCTTTATTGGAGCCCAAGGTTTATAGAAAGACAGTTAGGACAGGCTTTATTAGTGGGACAGTAAGTGGCACAGACTGGAGCTGACCTTAGCTTTGTCTGAATCTTCATTAGCCCTGAATACGTCACTGCTGAATATGTTAAGGGCTGTTTTCATTGCCCAAACAAGAGCAGTGTCTAATGACTTCTTGATCTAAGAGAACGCGCCTGGTTTCTAGGAGCCAAGGATTGTAGTTTTGTCTTGCTAGGATATTTTAGAAAAGACAGTTTGCTAGTTCTGGGGAGAGACAGTAGTAAGAAACAGAAGGTGAACTCAATATTTTTTTTGACTTTGCATTGAATACAGTATATTTGGGAGAAGAATTGGAAAACCAAATCACTTATTTTCTGATGCTGTCTGGATACTTCATGTTAGAAAAAATTCAAACTAGATTATTCCTGCTATGCAGCCCTGGAGACTGCTCACAAGCTGTCTGGCTTCTGCCTGTGATTAAACGCAATTAGCTAAGAATCTTGCTTCATGCTTAGCAACTGTAAGTAGCTGATTAATAATCTCTGATTAGTCATTATTGATGCTGTATAAATGTGCTGCTGCACAAAGAACAGGAGGGAGGAAACTTTTGTCCTTGGCTTAGATCGTGTCTTCACAATTTTGATAGTGTGTTCTGGAGAAGCGGCTTCAGATATTTATCATAAGCTGGGTTCCCCTGTTCAGAAAGAGAATGGGCAAAGGAAGGAATGGCAGTTAGGAAGGAGGAACAGACTATATATATGTGTGTGTATATATGCGTATATATATTTTGAAATGATCTCTGAAGTACAGAAAGCTGTATCACTTAACCTTCAGCTCTATGCAAAGTCCCTTTCCCTATAATATACTGTCCTCTGTAACCAGTATACGATGTTTCATACCTCAAATGGGACAGCATACAACTTAACTTCAAAAAATATGCTTGAACTTGAATACTTGCTGAAGGCAAATTTGCTCACCTGTAGAATTTCAAAGGGAGGACAGTTTACCATAGTAAAAACTTCACTTAAGGCAAGATGAGTTTTCAAATAGAGCAGTAGCCATTTGCATCATGCATGACCTTACATCACTCCATGATGGGAAGATATTTAAGAAACTCGTGGGTTGTTCTTCATGTGAATCAAGGCTAAATGGCTTTTGTGACCTGCTTGCGTGTCCCTTCCCTCTCCCATCTCCTCCTCCTCCTTGGGATAGGGATGTTTGCACTGGGCCCCACTGGTTTGAGCTCATGGCAGTGCTGGGGTCCGGCCTATAAGCTGTTGAATGTCTGAGCTTAGGCTGTGGTTGGCATGGCTGGAGTATCACAGTTCATGACTCGAAGTGGAATACTAGGGTTTAAAGGCTCTTATTCTGCTTGCTTTTATCTGCCTTGCCTTATTCAAAGGAGAAGGAGACAGTTTGTACCGTGGCTGACAGAAAAGCTGCCGGGCTGTGAGCCAGCCCCGTTACCTGCTGGTTGGTTGGTGACTTCTGAGCCCACTCGTAGAGCCGCTGGTAAACCTGTCCATCGTAGCTGCCAAGTGCAGAACTCAGGCTCTTATCTGTGAAGTCGAAAGCATCCACTAGTGGAACAGCATCCTTCCTAAGGAGGACATGAACCACGTTCATATTAATGGGAGGGATACAGCTTTGCAAGAAAGGGAAAATAAGGTGGAGGTGAATCTGCAGGTCAGCTGTCCAAGTTCATCCAAAATTCTTGCATCAATTTTCCTGCTTGTCTTAAGTTGTAAGGAAAATCCTGCTTGTTTTGATTCCTCGAGGGCATATTCTGAGTTGTCTGTATTGGTGAATGGATGTTTTCAAGTCCGTAATCTCTGTAATCTAATTTAGGACTCAATGTCATGTTAGGCTATCTTATCAGCAGGGTTGCTTGGTTTGTTTTCCTCTTCCCCTCTTCTTTATTTGTTTGTCTATGAAATGGAATAAGGTCAGTGCTAGTTTGATCTGAAGTGCTTTTTCCTCACCGCTCTTCATCTACACTTAAGTACTGCTCTAACATCATTGTGGGGCACTCGGGCTCTGCTGTCATCAGCTCATCTCTGAGCACAAAGCAACCCTGAACCAGGCTAGACCAAGGGCCCCATCTTTGAGAGCAACAAACAGCACATAACTAAAGCATGAGATAAGGGTGAGTATGTACTGACCTGGGCCTTCTCAGCATCTCCTCCTAAGCAGGAGATGGTTTCTTGTTTTCCTGTCCTCATATTCTTGCAAGGGTAGGAAGTTCTGCTGTTTGAACCCCACACATGAAGCAGGGAATGCAAAGTGGCCTGCTCGAAAGCTGTTGTTTGCACCTACGAGTCCCTTCAGACCAGAAATACTTCTGTTTTCTTTTTTCCACAAGCCTAAATAACTCACTTAGCAGGTAAATACCCTCTCCTTTCTTGAATCCTGTTAACTTCTCAGTCTCTGCCCTCTTAAAATTAATTCCAAAGACAGCTATGTGAAATTAAGGACCTATTGAAAGTGAATCTTGAGCTGATTGCCTGGTGAGTTCTCTGATTAGTTCTGAAGATAGCTGCAGTTGGGCTCCCTCCTGCCCAGCTGCTGGTTATGGTGCGTTGTTGTCTCTCACCAGCTGATTTACGTAGGATTTGGCCTGCAGTAGCATCTCCCTTCTCTGTGCTCTGTTCTTAAGGGGCAGCACTGTATAGGGAAAGATGAAGTTTTTGTAAAAATGCCTTTCTGAACGTTGTGGTAAATCAAAATCTGACCATGTTTCAGGAGTCAGGTGGTGCAAAATAAGTGCTCTTTACAAAGAGAAAACTTTCTTGTCAACTTACACACCGTATCACATTTGGCTGTAATTCTATTTAGGTGAGATTGTGCTGCAGCTTGTGCATCAATACGGAGTTGAGCAGATGCATCTGAACCATCACTAGCCAGAATCACTTGGGTACCAGTTCAGCTCAGCTGCAGCAACGGGGCAGGCTGTTAGCTGCTGCTTAAGCAGATTTTGCAGCCTGTGCTCAGAGGCTGCTGTGGCTCCCTGCTGCCAGTGACTGCACACTCGACTGCTTCGTCTCTGCTGTGAATGGTAGCAAGTGTTCAGGATTTCTTGATTTATAATTTAAGATTTCATGTTACAGAACTTGAATTTAGTGATTTCAGGGGTACTAGATGCTCCTTTGCTGTGACAATGAGTTCTGCATAGATAATTTGATCAATTTCTTAGGCTGTCAGGCAACAAAAGCAAAACCTGAGTGAGGTGGGATTGACTTTGTGGGTGTTGACATAGGTACAAAGGTACCATTTTATACTTGTTGCAGGGACAAACTGACTCGCTGTCTCTCTCCTCTCCTGCTAGAGCAGCTCA